TATTGAAAATCGATTGTGTGTATAAGCATTCATCTCCTAACCCTTAACCAACTAGGACTGATAATGAAAAATAATTGTTTAATTTTACTTCTATTTTAATGTTTGTTTTATATTAAGTTTATTACTGTGCTTATTTAATCTCCTATTGACAATGAATGTAACTGAAAGTATTACTAGTGTTTATATATCATTAATTATAAATGTGTCCGAACAAATTTAAATAGGCATGACCAGACTGTTAGGGCGCTCGACTCACAATCTGCGTGTCGCGGGTTCGAATCCTCGTCCCATCAAACATACTTGCCCTTTCAGCTGTGGGGACGTTTTAATGGTACGGTCAATCCCATTGTTCTTTGGTAAAAGAGTATCTCAAGAGTTAGCGGTAGGTAGCGATGATTAGCTGCCTCCCTCTAGTTTTCACTGCTAAATTTGGGAAGGCTAGCGCAGATAGCTCTCGTGTAGCTTTACGCAAAATTCAAAGCAAACAAATTTACATAGATATGACAGTACATTATATGATTGTTAGAGTGCGCTGCAATATTTAAAATAGAAGAGGGATTTAAATGATAGTCAAGAAAAGTAATGTAACAGAGAAAATTTGTCCAAAGGAAAAAAACAAAATTCTTGTAACGAATTCGATTTCACACACTTTTGACGTAAGGATCGTGTGTGTTTTCTATATTTGTGACAGCCACTGCAATAATGGAGTATTTTTACTTCAAAATATTTATAACATTAATACTAGTAATACTAATAACAGAAAGTGTAGAATTAGAAATGTAATATACTTGTAATGCTAATGCCAGTAATTGGAAAATCTAGATAAGAAAAGTATGTAAGAACTTAATTTTTGAACAAGATAATGTTACATCAACACATCTTTTAATAATTACAAACTATTTGTAAAAAGTAAACAATAAATATGCTTTTATGCATTGCAGATATAAAAATTAGAATAACAACGACAGGCACTCTAACTATATCAGAAAAAGCGAAGGTGAACCTGGTTCATGTTGAAATAGAAGTAATTATAATTATATTTCAATAAATCGTTCTGTAGCAATTAAGATATAGTTTTTGAAAGTAGAACACTTGGATCAATGGATGATGCAGTCATTGTAAAAGTATAATTTCATACGTAAAAGTTTAATAAAGAATTAATATAGACAGTAGGCTTTAACCATTACTTCTCAAACGTTTTTTGAGTTTGACGAAGAAACAATTTCCAACAGGCAATAATTAAATAAGAAGTATTTGGAAGATGGGTAATGTCACATGATACTTCACCACATTTTTTTTTAAAGAAAGGTTCAAAGAATGTCCAGAAAAAAATATTTTGATTTCCGATTATATTTGATGCCTAAGCATGTAGGCACAAAGCTTAGAAGATAAAAAGTGCATTGGAAATTGGCTTAATGGTAGATAGCAAAGAATGATGGACATTTTTCTAATTGAAAAAATGTGGCTCCTTAGGAGTCATTGATTTGTTTTGGGACTTATGTTGTTCACTATTTAGCATGTAATGTATTTCAATAATTTTTTACCTTCCAAGATAATATTTCTTTATATGCTGGAGTTACTGAGAAGGACTATAATATTGAGATTATTTCTCCTACTTAGATTGTAAAGACCTTGGCAATGGCAAGAATGGGACAAGTTTTTTGTTTTTTTTTCACTGAGTATCATGACAGAAGTTGGAATTAATGTACTCTTAGGATATTTTATGGTCTTTTGCTTCTTATGTGTTACTTATGTTAATAATTAAAACAGCAAAATGTCTTGTGAGATACTTCAGGCATATGTGGATGTTTTAGAGTTGGTATATTATGTAATTCTATGATGTATATAATTTGAGAGGTTAACAGGCTTAGAAAGTACTTTAGAATTTTAAAATTAAAGTTCAATATTCAGATATGTAAAGAATTTAAAAGTGACTTGCTTGTTATGGTAAAAGATAATTGGTGTTACAAAGGAAAGAGGGAGTTCTGTTTTCACAAGGTATTGGAATCTTTGGTCTGAGATTTCATATAAAATTTAACAAAGTTTCTTAAAACTTACAGTTACTAATCAATAGTCTCAGTGATTTTCTTCCTCCAATTCCAGCTTATTATTAATATATTTTAAGCTTTTTCACTTGTAAATTGCTGACCTCCACTACTTTTGAAGGCAACTTATTCCAAAACCAACCACACTGTTCGAAAAATAAAACTTTCATAACTGGAATCATAGCCTTTATTTTTCCAAATCTCTCATTTGTGTCCTTTCATCCTATTTTCTTCAGAATACAGCACAAAAGGATGAGTAACCTTTACCCCATCCTTTGATAATCTTGTAAATTTCAATAGAATCATCTCTTACTCTTCTTTTCTCAAGCATAAATATGAGATCTTAAATTATCTCTTTAAGATAACCCTTCCTTTCATAGAATTGTCTTAGTAGCCCTCCTCTGAACCCTCTCTAACAAGTCAGTATCTGTGCTTAGATAAAGAGACTGAAACCATGCACAATATTTTAAGTGAGGCCTAATTAGTGATTTGTATATGGAGATAGCTGCTACATTGAACTTGTAATCAGTATGCCAATTATTTCAACTTTATTACTAGCAACAGAGCACTGTCTGAATGGCTTTAGTGACTTACCTGTCACTATACCAAAGTACATGTCTCCAGTCACACTGTTGAGTAGGATGGAAAGGATGTCATACCAGTAGAGATTAAGATCTCTGAAATTATTTTCTCTTGAAAAAAAAAGATAAGTAAGAGGGCATCTGATTGAGGTGTTTAAGACTGTTAATGGAAATGATAGTATTATTTCTTGGCACTTGTGTATAAGGTTAAAATAATAAATAACACACAACATTAAAATAGGTACAGAAATAAAAACATTAAGGTCAATTTATGACCACTAAATAGTTAACTCTCCTTGTTTTGACGTTGCAATGTCATCTTCAGAAGTGAGTTGCAACACATAATCTATACACCTTTTGCTTTCAAAGTAAGCCTGTCTTTAAATATAAAAAAACTACTCACCAAGCCAAATTTGCTACTGGTATCCCACATTCAGCAAGCAATCTGTATATTTATAGTAATGTGTGCAAATGATGTGGCAACTCCTAGCCATTATCTGATTTGTTGACAAAAAAATAAGTTTCTCAAACTACAAGTTATCTTCCCTTTAAGTGAACATGAATAACAACCAATTATGAACACACTGATTGATCTAGTGAAAGGTAAAGTTGAGTAACTTACTTAAACACTTCACTACATGCAAAGTAAGAATATAGAAAAACAATCTAAGTAAAAAAAATTACACTAATAAAAGGAGTAGAAAACATGTAGTTTGTTCCTGAATAACTTTCTCTGTTATTACTCCTTATAACTTAATTGTCACCTTTGACCAGTTTCTAAAGCTTCAGGTGTGTCAGATTTAATTTTTGATAGGAACTATACTGATCTGCTTTAGAGAGTGCTGTTAAAATTCCATTAACATTAGTTTCTAGTCTGAAAAACTTCATTGCTAAATGTGTTTATAGAATAAGGTAGATCAAATTTATCTGAAAGTATGGAATGGAGTAATTAGACAAAACTGTGTGTGTGTGTCTGAGATTGCCATTAAAAGTAATAGTTACAAGATTTAGAATCCCAATGTTTTATTTTTAGTAAAGAAATTGTTTCGTTTCAGAGTCACCTGATTGACAAGTCTGTGCAAAGCTACTCCTTTAGTTTTCCACTCAAATGAAATTAAGGTTAAATATTTAGAAATTTGATTGGTGGACTTCTTGGTGTCCTATTACTATTTTGCTTTCTGATGAAATCTTACAGTAGTATGCTAACCATGGATGAATTGCATAGAATGCAGCTAACTCAGGCTACACAAAAAGTACTATACCTGCAATTTGTCTTCCCCCACATCATATAAAATTTAGTTTGTAGAATTAAAAAATATGCTGATTGACTAAAACATCTATCTATGCAAGGCTGTTCATGCTGTATAGTAAAGGTTTGTATAGCTTAATATCTATTGAAAATAACAAGAAAGTTCAGTTCTTCTGTTACAGAACAACAAATTTATGTGGATACAAAAGTCAGTACTTTCATGTGTTCTCTCCAGTCCAACTTTTGTTTGTGAAAGAAATACACACAGCTTATAACAGAAATTCAAAGCTGCTTCAGGCTATATGATGTCAGAAAGGGGTTCAGCTTAAAGTGATCTTCATTGATGTTGAAGTTTGCCAACCTTTGGATTAGTGAATTTTCCATAACTTGAATCCATAAAAAAACTTGTTCTCTAATAGTGGATATAAAATCTTATTTGGATTGCATTACATGGTATTGTGTATTTATCTACTATCCAGAATGTTATTGGATAGTTTCTGTTCTGGGTTACTATGAAAACATTTTTTAATTCAGAAATGAAAGTTTCGTGTTTATAATTGTATAATATTTTTTTCTTAAGCATTACTTGTTTACCAAAAAATTGTGGTCATCACAAGTATTCAGGACCAATCTCACGTAGAGTAACAGTGTTCAAATTTGATGTGATAAATTCATCAGTAATATTTATTGATCAGCATTTATACTAAGCCATATGAGAATGGCAGTTGTAAAACCTGGCTTTGCAGTCCAAAAACATATTATGATTCTTGTTATTAAAAAACAATTTTTTTCTTTTTTGCTTGTTTCCATTTTCAATATCATACCAAGTTTTAAGGAGTTATAATTCGAAATGTTATGAAAAAATAAAAGAAAGAGAGTTTTTATCAAAGTTAATTTGACATCCTGCACTTATCATTTTTGATATACACATAAATTATAAATTGCAGTACATAACATTGTAAAATGGTATTGTTTATTGCAGTAATTAGTATAATGGTATTGTTTGATATATTACCCAATATTGTAAAATGGTATTGTTTATTGCAGTAATTAGTATAATGGTATTGTTTGATATATTATGCAATATTGTATAATGGTATTACATATTTATTTTGTAGATTTAAGATGAATGACGATGTTTTGTTAAAAAAACCCACTTGTTTTCTTATTTGTGGAAAGCCTGGATGTGGAAAATCAACCCTGGCTGAGAAATTATGTAAAGAATGGAATTGCATTCACATCAATGGTACAGTATATATATATTTTTATAAACACTGTATTTTAGTTTCTGATTATTTATATTAATCACACAGAATGTACATTTGGTGTTTCCACATGTGAAAACTAGTACCACAGATTTAAGCACAAGCAATCAAAGTCCTTACTAACAACATTATACCCCAAACTGATCTATGTGTATATATGATATATAAAATAGGAAAAAATACCAGTAGATAGAGACAATATAAGATTTCTAAACCGGAGCTCGGTGTGTGTGTGTGTAGAAAAAACATAAAGCAAGAAACATAATCTGGAATAAAAAAAATATTGAAGGCTCTAAATGAATGAATCAAAAGTTTTAAAAACAAGGGAAAACTGAACAAAGAACATAAAAGATGATAAAGAAAATAATTTGATAGCAAGAAATAATCTGGTCTCAAAAATAATGTTAAATAATTTTCTATACACCTACAAAAACACAGTATTTTATAAATTCTCATAAAAAACATATTTATCTAAGAATGACTTAGTAAAAAGTAATGAATGTTCTAAGACCAGTTATGTAAATATTTCCAAGAACCCCAGTGTATGTATAATTTTTATTTCAGTTATCATGATTATGATAAAAATGATTTTTTGAGGGACAGAGATGTTTAGTAAACTGTACTTTTTTATTTTAAGATAATTCTCTGTGTTATGTCAATTTCTACAGCGGTTGAAGCACTCAAGTCAGAAATATCAAAGGGAATCCAAGATGAACTTTTGATTAAATTATTCCAGGGAACTGATGTGTCTGAAGAAAATATTTTACCTCTTGTGAAAAACATAGTAGATAGTCCATTGGTCCAGCATTATGGTAAGTTTTAGATTAAAATCTATAAATTTCGAATGGTATACTGAGTTGACTTGACTCAAGGATGGTTTCAGATTAGCAAGAATAAGATTTTTTTGAATCTTTCGATTGTACTCGATAGAAGTGAAGCATGAGTGAAACCAAGAAGAAACATGAAAAAAATTATCATAAAGTAGGATTATAGTCCAGTGAATATAATAGTTTATCTGTGAAATTGTTTTTCACTAAGGTAGGAAATCCAAAACAAAGACTTGTTTCAACAAGGCAGTTAGAAAGTTTATTATTTTGCTATTATGATTCTTATACATTATTCCTCAATGTTATTTTTAAGATAAATAAAACTTAAAAATATATACAATAAAATTATAATCATTCATGTGTTATATGAAGATGATGCTAAATATTTATCATCAAGTATCTTTATTGTCTAGTAATTAAGGGACTGTATATTTCTGTGCTCCATTTTTCTTTAGGTTATGTTTTAGATGGACTACCACTGGTTTCTTACCATCATTTGTCATTTTGTGAGCAGTTTGATGTTATGAACTCTTGGAAATTGAAACCTGATTGTATTATCTACCTGAAGGTATATGTGCATCTTGAGGGGTTTCTAAATAGAAAACTGACCATTAGAATCTGTGACTGTTTTACTGTAATTATATGAAAAGTTTTTTTTTTTTTGTATAATATTTTCTTTACTAAGAAATTGTACAGAAATTCATAATTTGAAATTATTAATATTTTTAAATTAAGTTGTTTTCACACTTCAAGGAAATGCAAGTGGCCATAGTTTATTTTTAGGGTTTGTCAATACATGTAAAGCTTTTTATTGCCATGATTGAATACATATATTTTCCTGAATAAGTTTTGGTTGTTAATTTTATAGTGAATAGAAGATATATTTCATTGTGAAACTGAGTATTGCAATTATTTAATTATTTTTGTTACAATCCATTTCTCTTAAAATAATTCAGTGATAATTTAGAAGTATTTCATGAAAGTAAATGGTTTTGATGTTTACTGGAGTAGAAAGTATCATTGTTCAGTCTGTAACTCATGCTATGCTAACTTGTGAATAATTCAGGTGCCTGATGTTGATCTTATTAGACGTCATAGTAAGCAGTATTTAAACACACTAGATGGCTCCAGTGTAATTATTAGGGATGAGTATATGCCTATGAAGTTACCGCTGGATGGACAAACTACTAGAAAATCCGTTGAAAATAGAGATGACCGTAATCACGACAATGAAGAAAATGATAATGGTAGTGAAGAGGTACTTACTTACATTTTTTAAGTCTTTGACATGGATAAATAAGTAGCTTTTAGTTTTGTAGAATATAATATTATATGAAGTCAGAGTGAAAATTATTAAAGAGGTACCCAATGGCTTGTGATTCACTTTTGGTTATTAAAGAAAAAAATATTTTTATGCAGTTGAGAATTTTTAAGTATTTGTTATTTCTCCATTAAAAAACAAATTTTGCAAATATCTCTGTCTGACTGTTGCATTTGTAATTTGTGAAGTTTAATACATTTAAGATCAAGTGAAGCCATATTATGTTGAGGGAAAGTATTGTTTGACTATTATTGCTTGGAGACGGCTTGAATGAGTAATAAAGAAAACTTTAATATAAGTTTAACATAACAGCAAATGTACAACGTTTCAACAAGGTTTTGTACCTGATGATGAC